TCTCTACTTCTCTTTTACAAATTTTTATCAAACATGACAAATTGCCCTAAATATTTTTTTCCCGGGTAATAGCAAAATTTGACCATGTTATGAATCGGAAAAAGATATTGTACGACGAAGAATTAAGTTTACTGCAAAAACGGGAGCACGACATGGGATTTGTGATTTCTCAGAAGAAAAACCAATTCGATTACTCTGTGTTCGGTAACGCGAAAGTGGATTACACAAACGAAAGAAAAGCATTTCATTGTTAGTAGTCATTTAACTCGAAACGAAATTGTTCGATGGATGGAAGTATGTAAAAACTGAGTTGAGTAAGAAGTTTGGAACGCCTAGCTTGCAAGGTCCAAGACGCCCGTTTATCTGTCCGCTAGGCCTGGACAAGCATGGATTCTACGTTTCGTGCAAACGGGTTCAACTTGGTCGTTAAAGAGGTCATTTTTTGCTGTTGATATCTCCCCTTTGCCACCTCCGTAGACGAGCTTTTTCGACTGATTGCGGTCAAAGGGGACGCCATTTTTTAGCATGTCCCGCTCCGTCTTACTGCGGCGGAACAATGGCGGACAGCCACGTAATCCTAACGCCACCGTGGTGCGCACGTTCTGTTCTCTGTATTCAAGTCTGCTAACTTGTCGCTTGATCCTTTCGTTTGATCTATCTTGTGGCAAAATAGAAATAAGGACTCGCTAATGCAATTTTCCACGCTGTCTCTTTGCATTAATTTACAAAATTCTACCGCGTACAGCCCGACCGTTTTAAGTCGATGGCGGTTTGTGTTTTAATTCAATTTTCAACAACGCCTTCCCGTATCAATCATAATGCATGGAGCGGCAGTATGGAGCCGTTTAAAGCCCGCCGGATGAGAAAAGACAATTTCATCTGTATGAAATAATTTAATTTGAACCCAGCTTGATTCGTGAAAGGTGTAGAACGGAATCCTTCCGCGACAGTTTACCGCTTCCTGAAGTGTACCTGCCACCCTGGTAAGTTGAAAGTAGATCCATCTTTAATGGTTAACTGAATGAATTGTTTCGCGCGTTTCTGTGATACTTCGCAGCAACTCGCTCACTGATCTAGTTACACCTTCTAACCACTTGAATGTCAAACTTTTATCACAAAAAAATAGTTCAAATAGTTTTCAACACTGTAGGGTTAAACTAAAGCAAGCGCAAAACGTTTAAACGTATTCGCACTCAACGAGCATTAATTAACCCGCAAGGTATGTGATTCAATTAAACACTTACCTACATTTCTGGGTCTCCCATCCCAATGTTTATTTCCTATCAACCCTGCTTCTTTTGCCCATCTATTTTCCCCCTCTTCGGTCCCATGCAGTCCTCACACTACCTTATATTTTAAATATTATTTTTGGCTGACATTCAATTATAGCCACACTAACTCTATCCTTCGATCACAGCCTTTCTTGCTATTGACCTTCTGAACCATAATTTATACGGGGCGGTGGGGTAGCCCAGTGGTTACAGCGTTTGCTCGATACGCCGAAGGCCCGGGTTCGATTCCCAACATGGGTACAAGGCCATTCCATGTTATGGCTGAAATATTGCTAAAAGCGGCGTAAGACCATACTCACTCACACATGATTTATACACACACAAATTTGCCTTTCTTTCTCATCTTTCCACTCCTCGTCTACAAATGTCTCAACAGATCACATCACCACGTATTTCTATAAATCTCATTTTCACAAAACCATTACACTGCTACACCACCTCCCAAACGAAAAAAAACCCCAAAACCAAACACTCCATTGCACCTGCTCATTCCAAACCTACCCGAGTAAACCATGGCGCCTATACACTTCACCCCCACCCCAGTAAACCATTGCACCTGTACACCCCTACCCCAGTAAACCATTGCACCTGTACACCCCACCCCAGTAAACCATTGCACCTGTACACCCCTACCCCAGTAAACCATTGCACCTGTACACCCCACCTCTACCCCAGTAAACCAATGCACCTTAAACCCCACCTCTACCCCAGTTAACCATTGCACCTGTACACCCCACCTCTACCCCAATAAAATAGTGCACCCGTATACTCCAACCCTACCCCAGTAAACATTTGCACCTATACACCCCACCCCTACCCAGTAAACCATTGCACCTATACACCTCACCCCAGTTAACCATTGCATCTGTACTGCCCACCCCTACCCAGTAACCATTGCACCTGTAACCTCACCCCCACCCCAGTAAACCATTGCACCTATACACCTCACCCCACCCCAGTAAACCATTGCACCAATACACCACCCCAGTAAACCATTGCACCTATACACCTCACCCCAGTAAACCATTGCACCTGTACACCCAAACCCTACCTGTGCACCATACATATTTTACCCTGCACCACAGTAAACCACAACAACGCGCACCATCACACAGTCAACCGTTCCACCATAATCTCACCCCTACCCACAGCAACCATTTCTATACCACTGCACGATAACACCACCTGCTGTACACAGTTCAATAACCACGCATTATAACAGTCAACCGAATTTATCAACCATCAAAAATGACAATTTCTACGGTTTTGCCCCGCTTAACATGGTGATTTTCAAGATACAGCTTAATGGCATTTACGATCAAATAACGCAACCGGGACCCAATTCAATCGGCCACACGGGATTATAGTCGGAATAGCTAGTTAGGCTGTATACATTCAGTACACCTTGCTTCACCCGACCATCCTGCCAGCGATGAGACACACGAGCCATGTCGTGTATAGCCGGACCACCTGGGACTAGCATCGATCTTTGAAAGGAAACGATTAGCTTGCTATCAGTTCATAAGTGGCAGGGAATCTACTACTGGAATTTATAGGTTAGAACAGACCGTACGGACTGTTCGATGATTCGAAAACGGAATTAGAAAATCTTACTAACCAGTAAACCGTATTTACTGCTGATCCGCCTTCAAAGAATTATACATGGTATCTATATTGATGATATTCAAATAGGTTTTATAACCAATGCAACGTCTTTACTGGTCGATCCTGTGTCCACAAACGTATACACGTGTATCTATATTGGTGATATTTAACAGGTTTTTATAATCATTGCATCATCTTCACTAGTCGATCGGGCTTTCACAGAGCTGTGTATAGGTGTATCTACATTGGTGGTATTTAACAGATTTTTATAATCAGTGCATCACCTTCACTGGTCGATCCGGTATCCACAGACGTATACACGTGTATCTATATTGGTGATATTTGAATAGGTTGTTATAATCAGTGTATCTCCTTTACTGGGAGATTCGGTGTTCACAGAAGCATATACAGCTATACGTGTGTATCTATGTTACAGTCTGGGTGGTATATAATGAGGTTTGTACTATGTCTTTACGGGTCGATTCGGCGTTTACGGATCCATATTATATATGTAGCGTATTAGCGGTATGTTGCGCGTTGTTTGTTCAATCAGAGTGCCGTGTTGACGCCGTTTCCTCTGGACCGTGAACATGTGCATTACCATGCATTAGCGTGTGTTCAGCTTACATCAACATCAGATTTCATCAGCCTATAATAGCATGTGCTAAAAGCTAAATGTACCTATCTACCGTTGCGTGTCTATGCTGATTTCAGATGTGGCGAGAGTCTGGGATTGTTTAGTCGAGTGGGTGAGTGACTGGTTCTAGGCCGCTTATAACATTATTCTAGCTGTATCATGGCAGGAGACACCAAGATCACTTAATTATTGTACCAGTGTGGGATTCGATCCAGAATCGTCGTGACGCTTTAACCACTGAGCTATCCTACGCCTCAGTTCGTGTGTGTTTTATATGTAATACGACCATTGATATCAACCTTGTATAAAAACATGGAATACTAAAACATCGAATATATATTTATATAAACTATTTGATTACTTCATTCTCAACAGTAAACACAAACCAATGCACGTTGGTTTAAGACTATACTGCTATAACTGGAGTATGATAAAAGTTATATACAGCTCTTATACACGCATAAAAATGTTTTTACAGTAGACAGGTCATGGCGATGAATTCATGACACGTTGGTTAAAGCTTTAAAACAAGGCTATACTGTACGCAAGCTGGAGTGTGATAAAATTGAAATATACGTCTCATATACGCACAAAAAAGTTCTGTACAGTGGACATGGCATGGCGATACCTTCAACATCACCATTCCAGCGTCTATGCTTTATAAGCACAGCGCCCCTCCATCGTATTCTTCTTGTGGTGTTGATTGCAGGGACATGACAAGCCACTCAATGGTGACATTTATCTAAAACATCAGGTTTCTCCCTTGACATGGTAGTTCGTATTGTTTACATACGGTATGTCCGTTTTGCATTTTAAACAGTATACAGCCCACACGATGTTTTCAACAAACGCGTTGGGTTGAATTTGTAATGAACCCACTTACAGAAATACGTGCATTTCTGTAAGTATTATATTTTCACTGATTTATTTACAGCTGATTTTATAATTCCATCTGCTTCATGTTATTGTAGCACTGGAATAGCACATACTTTTACTTATATATTATTGAATTAACAGCAGTACTACATATATTTATAGTAATGACAATGAACTTTGTCGAGTTTCAGTATACGATCATATTAGATATATAAGTAAATGGGGAGGGGGGTACATAAATGCGGGTTTAGTTTATTAATATACATAGACATTATAGACAACGTCGAGATATCACGTTAAATCTTTACTACTATTGTGACTTATCAACACAGTATCTACACTAAGTGTACGCTACCAGCCACCTCATGATATATATAAATGTTTATATACTGTGAATGAAAATAATATGTAATATCTCTCTATATTGTGTACATTATGTATATCTACCTCTCATGTCTATAATGATGTTTATTCCCATATGTAGATTGTTTGCACCTTGCAATACGAGGGTGTTCTCTACAATAAAACTAACTGTTTGATTCTCCTATTACCTTAAGTTTAAGACAGTGTGTTCTCAAATTGCAACTTACCAGTAACTGCAAGCGCCGCTAGTCCATGCTATGCTTCTACTGGTAGATCCCCGAACACTCGTATATATCCACGGTAATGAACTAACTAGTCTCGCTGGACACGCTAGTTATGCCTCTCTCCGTGTAGCAGACGAGAGACGAGCACGCTACACACCTGCACGCGCAGATCTGTCGTCTGCTTCTCACTCGGCGGACGACCAACTGTGACAAAACTCAGCGGTGTCAGACGTGAAATCCTTGTCCGAGAACCTCACCTTTCAGTCTAAGGCTCCGGCTCGAAGACGCTGAGAAAGTTTTCACAACTTTTTCCACACCTCCATATGTTTGTCACAGGTTATGAGGCGTCGTGTTCTTCCCTTTGAGATCACTGCGTGCTCCTGTGTCGGAATCAGCTGGGGACCGCCGTAACCGCATGTCAACAGTTAATTTGTGATCTTCTATCAAATCGTGACACTAATGAAGGTCCATTTTCAGTCACGGTGAAAATACTGAATGCCCAAACACAAGTAAGCAAAAGAAATCACGGGTTTACGCTCATGTCAATGACATTTGTTAGCGGTCAGTTACCTCAATGTGAAGTATATCTTTACAGAGGGTTTATCCGGTTCTACATCCCGTCCAGTTCCGTTAGGTGAGTGTTCAATGACTGCGCGAGTCTCACTGTCGTCTGCCTATCAGGCTCACGTCTGCTCCACTCTGCGTTTATCAGGTAGACCAGTTGTGTGGAGTAGTTTGGAGCATGGGACAGTACGTCTCAATTGTACTATCACTCACTCGCTCGTCTGTCCGGTAGAAGGCCCGATCTCATCTACTCCCGCGAAACTTCTCGTCTCGAGCAGGATTAGCCACCAACTGTGTCCCATGAAGCGACCTGGTAAGAGTTGAAACAATATTGTTTGTGTTCGGCGCCCGGTGCATGCCTCAAGTACGCTCGACAGTCGGACCTCGGGCCTTGCTGTGTTTATGGCTGGGCCCTGTGAATATTGTCAAACTGTCGCAGGCACCATTCAGTCGACTCTACATGATTTTCCCTCTGTCAGAATAGTCAAGCTTGCTAGAACAAATATCTAATTAATTACATCAGCTTGGTGCGAGGTGTACTGAAGGAAGCAAACTCCAAGCCGCTCTGACGTGAATGCGCTGGAGTCAAACGACGATGAACAAACACAAGCCTTTATATGCTTACACGAGTTTCTGATCAAACTTTTGGTCGGGGCACCAACTCTATCGCCAAACTTGAACAGAGGGAGTGCACATGAACGACTGGGGGCACATCAACCAACCTTGGAGCGACAAAGGTTCGGTTGCGAAAGTGGTGATTGAGAGAGGAACGATCGATTGGTGAAAGACTACACACGTAAAAGACGTACATCCCTGGGGTGAAAGTCCTGACCCTCATCACCCCCACAACAAACACAGTCGGAGACCTGGGTCTTGCCTTACATCGGGTTAGCCGTTCAGGCAATGTCACAAGTTCACTTTTGATAAATTAACTGCCGAGTACAGAGTAATCAATGATTTCATGCAGTGGTCTCTAACGGGAATTCTGCTACCCTACAATCGATAATGACGTCACGGCGTTCCTGAACGCCCCCCGCACCAGGTAGCCTGGCTATGTACCTACACCAGATTCCACATACCTACATGTAGAGAGACCAGCTTTAATTAAAATTTGGCTATCCGGGGAGATAGAGAGATTTAACTTGTTTCGTGTTATCAACGACTAATCAATACGAAGTCCCAGGACATGCTTCGCTGTTACAGAATATATCCACCTTGATTACAACAATCATTGTAGCAGTTGCCGCTTCTCTGCAATTCCATGTTTTATCGTGGTTTTATTGAGTCCATTTATAACTATAATGATGGACAAACACCCCTCCATTACCAACGTAATGGAAATCCTCTCAAGTCACTACCATGTACACACTCGGAGATGGCCCCCGAATCCTGTTTCGCAGGGAACACTTAAAGTGGAATTTCGCTTTGGCCATTGTAACATAAAGCAACATTTAGCCTCCGTGACAAAAGGAACTAAAGAGAGTTCCATTTTAAACTAATATGCACTTAAATCTCCAGATAAGACACGAAACTCTCAATAAAATGCCAGTATCGCGTTGTGGTCGAAGCCCTTCATATGTTTAAACTGAAAATACCGACTGGTCCTGTCTGGTTCGCTGGACGATATATCACAGAGGTTACTGGTAGTGGTACACTGCACGAGTGAGAAGGTTTTGGTCATAGCTGAATTGAAAATACCTACTTACCCGATCTGGCCTGTATGTGACAGAGGTTATGTAACAGACGATATGTAACAGGTTAGGTCTGTTGAACGATATGTGACGGAGGTGGGCTTGATCGACGATATTTAACAGAGGTTAGGTATTTGGAGCAATATGTAACATATGTAAGGTCTGTTGGACGATATTTGATAGAGGTTAGGTCTGTTGGACGATATGTAACAGAGGTTAGGTCTGTTGGACGATATTTGATAGAGGTTAGGTCTGTTGGACGATATTTAACAGAGGTAAGGTCTGTTGGACCAAATGTAACAGGGGTTAGGCCTGTTAGGCGATATGTAACAGAGGCTTCGGTCTGTTGGACGAAATGTAACAGAGGTTAGGTCTGTTGGACGATATGTAACAGAGGTTAGGTCTGTTGGACGATATGTAACAGAGGTTAGGTCTGTTGGACGGTTTGTAAGAGAAGTTAGGTATTTTGGACAATACATAACATAGGTCTGGTCTGTTGGACGATACATAACAGAGGTGAGGTCTGTTGGACGATACACAGCAGTGGTAGGTCTGTTGGGCGGTATACAGCAGTGGTAGGTCTGTTGGACGATACACAGCAGTGGTAGGTCTGTTGGGCGGTATACAGCAGTGGTTACATGGGCAGTGGTAAGTGTGGTGGGTTTGGTTTACTCCGCATGTACAGGTAGACAGAATATCGTAGACGTAGAAGCCCACAAACACAAGTTTGGCGTCGTCCAAGGGCTATAACCGAACGAATAGGATATTCGAACTTTTACTACATGGCAACAAGGGGAACGGTTTACAATAACAGACATGTAATTTACTCGAGGAACAAAAGAAACTAAAACTTTCTAAGACAACTTCGTATGTTCTGAATAGACTAGGCTTCATAAAGATTGGTTAATTCAAACTTCACTCTTCTCTGTTGTGGACGTTTATACGGTCATCGCAACACGACCCTAGCATCAGGAAAATATAATCAAGATAAGGCGTAGTTAGGGAAAACTCTACGAGTAACGTGGAATTACGCAATATCTGTCCCGAGTGATTTAATGTTGTACGTCCGAGCTTTGGAACATGAGGACAGATACTCAGTATTGTGGGGTTATTCCAAAATTACCCATAATCTTTACCTTCTGGGAAAATGTAGAAAAAAAGTAGTTTTTTTATATCTCAAATGAAGACATCAACTCTGCTAAGTCTATACACATTGCCACGGCGATATTTCGATGACACGATAACACCTAGTTTAGTTCCTAGTACGTTACTGGCTAAACAAGCAGGAAAAAGAAATAGCGTCACAACATCGATTGTATTCAAACCCTCTAAAAAACACACCAAAACTCAAACTGAAAAAATACTTTCTTTTGGCTTCGACGTGTTTTTGAAACCAACAGTCGAGATGCACAAGCCCTGTTGCGGTTAGTCTAATACTGTTGAACCAGTTCCGACGATCACTATATTCCATTTATGACAAATTAAGCAGACTGCCACTTGTGAATACTGACATTGATTTTCAAAACCTTTGCAATATTCATTTATCTTGCTGAGACAGATTATAGGTTTGCGTATTCTCGCGGGAAAAGATGAATTCGTGAATCGAGAAATCTATCATTTTGAAATATCACAACCCGGAAATGAAAATCTCCATTATGAATTAATAAAAAAATTCATGCAATAATTCAAACAACAACGTTTCCGCGATATAATATCCGTCACTGATGGCAACACACGTCGATGTAGTGTACACACTCGTAATGAATCGTCTAAGAATATGACTGCACTGTTAATTATTATTTTCATTTTCATCACAAATGATCAATCCAATTTATATAAAAGGACAGCGCCTATATGGAGTGGCGTTGGGAAGCTGATGGCAGTGGTTATGTTGGCTGTGGCTATTCCGTGCTGAAGACCGGTGATGAAAGGACAGAGACACAAGATAGTTATCCGAATGGTGTAATGGTCTTTACCGTGGGTTTTCTATTTTAGGAACTCCTGTCTAGTGAGTAGTTATGACGAGTTCGTCCATTAAGTGCACTGTCAAGCTGAAACCTGAAGTATGGCCATTGTCGACGTCACGGTACTTTTAGGTGAAGCGGTAATGGAACGTGGTCAGTGAGACGTCCATCTGTGAATGTGGGCGTTATTGGGGGGAGAGAGAGAAGACGGTGTGTGTGTGTGTGTGTGTGTGTGTGTGTGTGTGTGTGTGTGTGTGTAAGGGAAGAGAACGAGATAGCGAGTGAGCGCCTTTGTGCGTGCGTGTTTGCGTGCGTGAGGAAGTGGGCTAGAGAGCAAGAAAAGAGGGGAGAGAAAAACAGAAAAAATTGTTTCAAGCGGCGTTAAACTCGACTCCCTCACTCACCCAACCCAATCAATGGTTTAGTGTCAATGCTAATCGAGCTGCTGTTAAAAGAGTTTCAAGTGTACACGTTTAATGGCGGCCATTGGATCTATGAATTGCTGAGAAGATCGGCGGTATAAATACACCTCCCTCAATTCAGTCCCAAATGATTTATTGACGAAAATGTTCACTTTTTGTAACACGACCACATTGTTCGTGACACAAAGCGAGACTAAATCATTTTCCAGTATGCCTCATTGATTGTCACAAATGATTACTATCGCCAACCATTACAAATGTATGATTAACTCGCCACAATGAAGAACTCCGACAAACACACTTCAATTTATCTTCATATCCTAACCAGTCCCTGGTTATTTGACGACATGTATCGTAATTTCAACACGGCACCAAGAGGTTCGGAGAGAGAACCAGAGTGACAAATGACTGCATGACTTTGATTAAATATAATTGACGTGTGGAACAAAGGATCTTCATCGAGGAAAGGCAAGAGCGACTAGACTATTAGGTGGGGGCATATTGCAGCTATCGGTTGACCATGACTAAGAGGCGAGTAATAGAGAGATTATGGCTTCAACAAACAATTATTCTCTGGATGATGGAGAGCGAAGAAGCCGATGTGAGAACGAGGCTTTGCGTGTCAGAAGAAGCAGACGACATCAGGTTTCGGGGTCGAGGTTCAAGTTGATTGCATCCAAGGCCATTATTAAGCATCGGTCCATCCTTCCGTTTCTCTATCAACTAGTTCCAATGATAAACGATAGTTATAAGTGGGCAGAGGACCAACACTCGGCCGCGCTATTTTCTTCAGAACATTACAATCGATTCCAAGCTCAAGTCGACATCTGTCTGCATGGAAAATGGCGGGAAATATGACAAACTGGCGCCATGCTTTCTTTTCAGACGCTCGGCGAAACCCATCTCATTTTCGGTGTGTACAAAAGGACAAACGCACACAGAAACTGTCAATTGTTTCTCTGAGAGCGAGTGCAGAAGTATAGGACCTCAGGAGTCATTTATATTCTGGAAGTGCGGGCCATGGTGCTTATAGTGTGTCTGACATTGAACATGTCTGTCACGGTTCCCGATCCAAATCTTTGATTGTGCTTGTGTTTCTGCTGGCAGATATTGGCAAAATAGCACCAAGGAGTTGTGTACGGAGTTGTATGATATTGTATTGACCCGCTTGAACGCTGTTCCACTCTGGCTTGGTATCCAATGTTAGCACTTGCGGTGATAGTTGAGCCCGCGTTGCATGGATTAGATTAAATGTATCAAGAAACACCCTGGCCCCCCGGGAGTATATTTTGTCAGTGTAATCGAATACGATCACAGTGAGTGTAAATCAAATCAGACCCAATACAGCTGGGAGAGCGCGTCTTCCTTGGCGCATCCCAATTACAACAGGCATTAATTCCTGTCTGAAAATATTACCTACAGCGATGAACTCCGAGATGACTGGCCTTATAGATGGAGGCTATCGATAGGTAAGGCTTTAATATAGAAATGCTATACTCGGCCCACAGCTTGAATACTAGATGAACTATTTCCATTTGCAGAACAGATCAAACTGCAGATGGTCAGTGCAGGGTTATCGGAAATGACGAGAGGACTGAACAAGGGTTTGCAATGTGTTGGCGAGCAGCTGGGCCATACGGTGATGTAGTTAAAGAGCTATGTGTACAGTACTGATCAAGATACATAGTCCCCAGGTCCCTGAACCATATTAGTTTCTCTTACGCCAAGCCCTTACTGTACTGATATGGCCCTATAT